CAAAGAATATATATTTAAAATTTAAAGAAAGGTTTATATGTATATTCTTGAATAAATTTAAATTAAATGATTTTTTTGTATAAATTTACATATAAAATTAGGTGAGTCAACTCATTTGATTTATAAGTAACAGCATTCATTTGGACATGTCCTATGACTGATAATAAAAACTTGGTGAAGAAACATTAAACGGATAGGAACAATGCCCTGAGGTTAATAGAACATCTCGCTGAGATGGATCTTTCATCCAAAAACCTGCGGTACATACTGAACCATAATTTCCAAGCCGATGGACAATCATATTTCCACCGTATATAGATCGATCGATTCATCTCTTTTCTCCTAAAGTGGATGAATTGAATGAATTTAATTCCACCTTTTCTTTTTCTTTTTTAGATAAATAGACTATTTTCGGTTTGAAAAATTTAACACTTTTAATAAATTCATTGTTCTTTGGATCATTTTCATCTTCTAAATATATCACAACATTATTAACTTTTGGTTCGATATTAATTATGCTATTGCTTAGATTAAATTTTTGTGATAATTTATCTATTTGAGCGAATGTGGATTTTAATTGAGACAAGGAGTTTGCTGCTTTTTTAAATATTAAATATTTTTTATATTCTTTCATTTGTAAAGAGTTTCTCACTTCTTCGATCTTTGATTGGTCTACCGTATTGATATTTACTTTATTCGCCTTTACATTTACATATGTTCCTCCAAAATATAAATTATTTAATAATGGTTGTAATTTACCGTCTATTTTAATTAATTTTGCCTCTCTGTTTAATAGCTCTGGTACTTTATTATTTTCTACTCCCCAAAATTTTGCCAAAGCTTCGAATTGTGCTCTAACCATTGACCCATTTTGTATTATAAAAGCGAATAAAATTAATAATGTTTTTAGAGAAATGTGTTTATTTCTCATATTGGATAATATATTATAATCACAAAGGGAATAAAATACGTCAAAGGTTTCTTGATGGATTATAATCACAAACGGGAATAAAATACGTCAAAGGTTTCTTGATGGATTATAATCACAAAGGAGAATAAAATACGTCAAAGGCTTCTTGATCACAAAGGGGAATTTATAAAGAAAATATTAGATACGTTAAGGTGAAATCATTTTTATTATAAATCCTTGTAATAATCTACTTACTAATAAAAATTCTATATAAACTTGGTTGATCACTTTGATCCTAGCCAATCTGCATTGATAGAACAGTAAACCTTTTTTAAAGTATTTCAAAAATATTTGTGCGTTATTCAACTTTTCCAAACATTTCTTTATTATCGAAATTCATTTCCGTAACTCTTTCAAATGCAAGATAAAAGGTTGTATATAACACTTGAAAGAATACTTGATGTAAGGGTTTATTGTTCTACCTAGTGTTCCGATTCAGGTAGCTATCACCCGGTGCCAACCCGCGAATTGCCTGATTCTAATTCAGAAAATAGTACTATATCGGACCATTTTGGAATGCTACCCTTTATGAAATCTGATTGGTTTAATCTAATATAGTAGCGTATGTAAAATTTGTAATTTATTTAATTTAACGCATTATTATCTGATGATGATGCTGAAATTTGAACTTATTTGGTTAGGAGTTAAGGTTAGAGTTCATAATAAAAAGGGTATAAGATTAAATGTGGCTTTAAATAGGGTTCATATTTCAAATCAAGACACCAATTTTGGCATCATTCATCTCAATATTATCGTTATTTATTTATCACATTAACACAGTTAAATAATCCCTTCATATTGTTAACTATTTTAAACAAAAAAAGTTCTAATTTTTCATCATTTCAAATTAAAATCTAATTGGTGTAATCGTGTTTAAGTGAAAATTGCACTTGGTCATCAATAATACATAATCATGGCTAATATTTAAGAATGACTAACCCTATAAAAAATATGATAGCCAATATATTCCGAAAATATTCAGAATTTGGTATTCCTAAAATTTTCAGATAACTACCCGATTTTTTTCAAGCTTATATTCAGAAAATTTTCAGGTTTTTCAGAAAATCACCAGGTAATGATCACATCTTATTCGGGAAAATGAGCATTTTCCGGAACAATTATTAACGTTAATGTTCCAAAAATATTCCGGATATATACTTAAAAATTTTAGCAAGATTCGGATAATTTCATGTTAACGGTTGGGACATTTCATGTACAAAATAGGCCAATAATCCGATTATTTTAACATTAATGTTCGAAAAAAATTCCGGACATGTACCTAATATCATAGCAAGATTCAGATAATTTCATGTTTACAGTTGGAACATTTCATATACAAATAGGGCCAAATAATCAGATTATTTTATATTTTACGTATAAATTAGGAAGATCTTTTACTAGTAATCTGAATATTTTATACAAGTATTTTAAAACCATTGAGTCCTTATAACTACTTATATAGTTAGATAAAATTGTGATTGTTTTACATATTATATCAGAGAAAAAATCTGATTATTTAATGATTGTTTCACAATAAATTAGTAATTGTTTTATTATATGTGTATAAAATAGCAAACATCTTTTATTTATTTAGAACAATACTGAATGGTGCATAATACATATTAAATAAAGCAGCTGGCGAAGCATAATATAGTGTGTTTTACCTATTTGTGACTTTTTGCTGTGACCCGTTTCTTGGGAACTCTCTCAGTATTCGACCTAGTTGCTTTTCTTTTTCCTATGTATTAAGCAAAAGTATTAGATATAACTTAAATATATTAAAGAAGAATAATGATACAGGAGGGGTGAGGATAATGAACATTTTATAATATAACATTTAATTTACTATATTATCCCCACCTCATAATATTCTTTTTTTAAATAATTACCAGTATTATTTCCATTCTGTGCTACTGGAGATAATGGTTGATTAATTGTTTCAGAACTTGATGCTGATAGTCTGGTCGAACACCTTGAAGATTTTGAAGATTTCATTTTACAAGAGGAAGATAATTCAGACGAATTGTTATCATTGTTGATTTCAGAGTTATTGGCTTCAATTGCATTAGAAGTTGATAATGACAATCTGGTTGAAGTCTTCGAAGGTTTTGGAAATCTCATTTTGCGAGGAGTAATGGTAGTAGGTAATTCAGATTTATCATTATCACTGTTGGTTTCAGAATTATCGACTTCAATTGCATTGGAACTGGTTACTAATTGTTTGATTGGAATTCTTGAAGATTTTGAAGAATTAATTGTACGAGAAGCGACGTTAGGTAATTCGAATACATCATCGTCACTATTAACTTCATAACTATCGGTATTAAAGGAAGAAGTAACATCATTATGCTTTGGAGAATAATTTTCGTTAGATGCAGTAAATCGATCATCTATTTCGTCGTCAACTTCGGTTGTATCATAACTTGACACTGATGATTGGGTTGAAGTTTTGTTTTTGGACCTTGAAATGAGAGGGATAGTATTTTTACGTTTGGGAGGGGGAGGGATACCTTTGGCATGGGCTTCTTTTATCTTGTTTTTGCGCTGAGTTTCCACTACGAATCATTGTAATATTAATACATAATATTTATTTTATTAAAATAAAAATATAACAATAATATAAAAAAGTTTTACCCCAATTTCCAATAATATTTTTGGAAATTTTTTGTAAAACAAAGTCCTTAACAGAAACCAGAAAAGTCAGAAAGTCATGTTTGAACTATATTATTATGGTATTATTAATTTTTTTATACTCATAATAAAAAGCAATAATTATTTTACATAATATGCACGTACTTCATTAATAATTTTCTGAATTTTTCCTGGTGATTGTTCTGACACATATTTGCCTTTTTGGCAACTTGCTGCTAACCTGTCGCGCAGGTTCCTCTGCATGTAAAAGTTAAATATTAATTATTATCAGCAGTATAATAATAAAAAAGGAATATATAATAATAAATACTTGCCTGATAAGTCCAGTAAGTATCATGCGGCAGACTTAAAAAATCTTTCCAATCCTCCTCCGGCCTTTTATTTTTTTTCCATTGTTTCCACTCTTCCTTGGTAATAGGATTTTGCGCAGATCCACATGGAAACTAAAATAATTAAATCGTTTAGAACTTAATAAAATTGAAATTTTAAAGTGTAACTTAAGTATAGCTAATAAAGCACTTACTGATGTATTGACAACACCTACGATTGCACTTGATAACGCTGGAAGGGTTTGTGTTGATTCAGAAGTCAGTGCCATAGTAGATTGGGAGTTTTGATTAATAGTTGCGAGTGTTTGCTGTAAAAGTGTTGAATTGGATAATAATTGAAAAAACAATGCAATATTCTGGTTTGCATCTGTGTTCATATTGTTGTTATCGTCTTTACTGTTAGAACAATTGCTCATCGTTAAACTGGTCTTCTTTTATGATAAAAAAAAAAGTTTCAAATTTAGGTTTATTGTATAAGATGGTCTCCTTTTACAATAAAAAAAAAGTTTTCGAATTGAGGTTTATAAGAAAAAGATTTATTTATTTTAATTCAAATGTATTGTATTTATACTTAGTGATTAAAGGGGTGATTGCATAATATATAGTTACATATATACGTATATAATGCTACCTTATTAATTTTTATTAATTATTTGTTTTTCAATAATTTATTAACAATGGGAAGCCAAGTTTTATATGCTTGCATATTTTGTCGAAATGCATCTAATAATGTTGGGAAATATATAAGCATCTCGACTCGAACAAGACATTGGCGACAGGCAAAAGGTTTTCAGGATATACCGGCTATGACTTCATCAATTAATATACAACATTTAAACAATGATAATATACAATCCTATGATGGTCTAGAAACAACAAATCACACTTTTAATTTCTTACCTCCATTAATAAATCCATCATCTGTAGTTTCTATGTTGTCAGCGAGTGAATTAGGATCTAATAATCATATAGAAAATGAATTGAAATTAGATTGTCGTGATGAAACAATAGATGAACAGGAATCTTTTTTTGTGATTTCCAATGATCTAGTGAATAATGAATTAGAAGAATCTGAACATGAATTAGAGAAACAAGGTTCTGAGCTAGAAGAGGAAAGTAGTTATTACGAAAGTAGTGATGGTGAACTAGATGAAAGTAGTGACGATGGATCTATTTCCATAGACATTGGTAATCAGAGAACCGGTCAATTAGAATGAATAAATTTAAAATTTTATAACATTTTTAAATTTTGTTTATAAAGAATGCTAAAGCGCACCAGTGGTGTTTAACACCATATATATTTTTATTACAAAGAAATTTTAAATGTTAGTCAGTATAAGGTTTTCGGGATACTGAACAGCTTTACTTAAATATCCAACCTGGTTTCTTGGTTTTTTTTTTTTTTTAGATATAGCAATTTTGGTGTTAAGCACCACTGGTGTGTTTTAGTAAACTTGCTATTCATTCAATATTAATATATAATTTTTTTTTATTTAAGATCTATCAGATAATTTAATTCAGGGACTTTGCCTTTCATATGTCAAAAATAAGCATTCTTTGTCAGATCAGGCATTCAATGAAATTATGAATATATTTAAGATTTCAGAGATATCTTTATATAAACTTCGGCAAACGTTTAAAAATTTAATTCCACTTGAACCCAAGCTCGTCAACATGTGCTAGAACTCTTGTTTCTTATTTGACAACTATGATAATAATTATGAGGCGTGCCCTAATTGTGGAGAACCACGATATGTATCTGGACAATCGTCAAAAAAAGCTCGAAAATCGGCCACTTATTTTTCTGTAATAGATAGTTTACGGATGCAATATAAAGATCCATTACGCGCGAAAGTTTTTCGTTATCGAAATGAATATACCTTCAGAGAGGAATATCTATCAGAAAATAATAAGATCGGTGACATTTTTGATGGCAACCGATACAAGTCCTTAGTTGAATCAGGTTTATTTTCGGATCCCCATGATGTTGCTCTAACTGCGTCTACAGATGGATATCAATTATTTAAAAAAAAGCAAAACGATTGTTGGGTTATTTTACTTCTAAATGCAAACTTACCTCTATCTATAAGAGTTAAAAAAGAAAATCTAATGATAGTTGCAATTATTCCAGGCCCAAAATCGTCAAAGAATCTTAATAGTTTCTTACGACCACTTATAGAGGAGCTCAAATATCTTGAAGGTACTTATTAACATTTATTACTTGTTTTTATAATGTGAAAATTTTAAATAGGACGGCCAGTTGGCTTTTTTTTTTTTTTTTTTTTTTTTAATTTTGTATAGAAAAATTCTATGAAATTTTTAAAAAATTTTTTCAAACCTTAACCATTTATTAGACATAGACTTTTTTTTTTAAGTTATAAAATTTTTTGATCCAACCAGGTTATGAAAATCAATTGATTTCAAATGGCCTTGTATTTAAGTTTATACCCTAATCCGTTTATTAGATATAGAATTTTTTTTCAAATTTTGATCTAGCAGGGTTATGAAAATCCATTAATTGATTATGCATGGCCTTATATTTAAGTTTATAATACGAACTAAACCAATATAAAAAAAAATTTTATAGCAGGTGTGCAGTGTTATGACGCATTATCACGAAAGACATTTACATTACATGGCCATATATTATCATGGTCTGAAGACATTCCAGCTATTTCCAAAATTATGTGTGTTTCTGGTCATAACGCCTATAGTGGTTGCCGCTTTTGCTACTTGCGTGGAATATATTCTGAAACAGCCCGACATGTATATTTTCCACTTTCACCACCAAAAGGATGTAATAGTGCAACATATAATCCAAATCATTTACTGTTGCGCTCCCATATCAGTTATAGCCAAAATATTAAAATGATAGAAAACAAAGGTGGAGCTGAACGACGTAGAATAGAACGTGAAACAGGTGTTAACGGGCGTAGCATTTTATTTGAATTACGTTCTATTAGCTTTCCGGCATCCTTCCCGGTAGATATAATGCACGCGCTTTTCGAAAATACCGCTCAACATATGTTTCGCCACTTTGCTGGTAAATTTTTTAATAATGAAGAACTTAACAATACCGATTATAAAGTTTCTGTTGATAGTTGGAATAAAATTGGAAGAATATTGGAACTTAATCGCAAAATGATGCCTATGGAATTTGGGAGACCTCCAATAAACATTCATAAATATTATACTTCTTTTAAAGCGGAAGACTGGTACAATTGGATGGTCTTATATTCACTTCCACTTTTTCAGGACCATCTTTTAAAAAGGTAAAAATTTCTCTCTTAACACGGATTATCTCTTGAATAACCTTTTTTCAATTTACAGGCATATTAATGGGTGGGCAAAATTCATTAAGGCAACTCAATTATGCCTTGAACCAGTTATTTCCAAAGAACAACTTGAAGAAATCAAAATCCTTTTTATAAATTTTGTTAACTATTATGAACGGTAAATTATCTATTTATAGGATAGTATTCTATTTAAATTTGGGCTATTTACTTTTATTTGAAAGTTTCAAAATTGAAATTGAAAAATATTTTATTTTCTAATTTATTATTCAACATGATAAAAATACTACTTATTTGTAAAATGCGCAATTTTTATTAAATAACAGTGACGCATACCACTATAGCCATACGGTTAATTTAATATTTTATGTTTCATTGAGAAAAAAAAAACTGAATTAATTTATCTTTTTCGTTACATTATAAAAATATAGTGAATACTACCAAAAAGATCCTGAACGCCTTCAAGCGGCACTCATTAGCTTCCATTATTTGTTACATGTTGCGGATTCAATCTTTGAAACCGGCCTACCATGGGCGACGTGGCAATTCCCAATGGAAAGGCTGTGTGAAATGCTGATACCTCTAGTTCATTCTCGGCAAAATCCATATAATAACTTAATCAAGCAAGTAACGTTGTGGACTCAATTTGCGCACTTGCAATATTACACTAAATATAAAAAAATTTTTGATGATCTTCCGGAAGGGCATCAGACGCAGATTTTTAATGGTGAGAAATTGTATTCATTGTTTAAAGAGCATGAGATGACAAAGACTGAGATTCAGAAGATCAAGCAGTACTACGCGACAGTATTTGATTTAGTTATTAGCCGTATTAAGGTACAGTAGTGGGTGTTCGATATATTGTGTAAATCAAGACTATATGTGGTCACTTAAATATTTTAATTGGTCAAATTTTTTTTTAGTATTATAATACGTATTAGATTACATTTTTTTTAGATGCGTAGATCGCATTTGTTTTTTTTAGTCAAAAATTTTTATCTTTTTTGTGAGAAATTTTTTTTCAGGTTCCTATTTATACGTATGCAATCGTTACTTCATTTAATCGAAAATTTTTTAAGCTCCCAATAATTCTTTCATAGAACAGATTATTTGGCTTCTTAATATCTTTGTTAACTGGTTTTAGAGCTATACAAAACTTAGTTATTTATCGTTAAATTTTTATATGATACCATATATAGTTTTGATTTACATATGTAGTGGTGCAGTACATAAATGTTCAAGATTTGCAATATGCATATAAGTTAGTACGTATGTATTTTAAAAATACAGGTAAATAGCAAAATTCAAAAATATGGCAAACTACGAACTAAATTTGGGGTGGTGATTGGTTCAAAGCTTGCAAATCGTAAAGGAGACATCTCGCGAAACAATTATTCAATTGCGGTGAGTTAATTTTAACAGTGTTATTCAAGTGAATCAGATTTGTTGAAAAAAGATTTTATAACTATATTAATCATATTCCAATACGTGTACTTAATATAGGCAAGGCTTCTAGTTGACAAAAATGCACACCGCCCAAAAGCGCCTATTTTGTTTAAAGAGCATGAATTTTATGGGCAGATTTTATTTTATTTTACTCACGAATATGAAGGCGAAGTATCCATGCTTGCATACGTGCAATGGATAAGGAATCCAGAAGTTTATGGAAATAATATACTACATTTTCGCAACTTCGGTGAGACTGGTGTTATTAATACAGCTACTATTGATCGCTGTGTTGGATTTCTCAAACTTGCAGAAAATAGGTATCTTGTCATAGATAGAGAAAATTGGGTTACATTCCGGTAAAATTTAAATAAAATTTTAAAGCGACATTTGATAATTGTAGCTAATATTTGATTTGTCATAACTAAATAAGAACAATAAATTAAAAATACTTTCAGTTCGTAATAACATGTATTTGGCACTAACTCGTATAGTCTTAGTTATTATATCTATCGCGCAAATTAGTTACATATTGATACCAATTTTAATTTAACAATATAATCTTGAACCTGAATATTTCCGGATTATATCTATATTCGACATCAAATCTTAATTTGACTATAAATTTAAACCTGAATATTTCCGGATTATATTTATATTCGAAAACTTTTTAGGAACATTTTCGGAATAACATTTAAATTGGAAATTTGGATTTATCCTCTAAAATTTCTACTCGGAACATAATCGGAATGGTTCCCATCCATCTGGAATAAAACCTGAATACATCTGTTAATAATTTTTCATAGGGTAACGAGACTTACGATCGGTTACTAAGCTTGGTTAATCCCTCACGTGTCCTTAAAGTTACCGCTGATATCACTTAATCATCGTCCGCTTTTACCTCACCATCCTTATTGAGACATTCCTAACAGCATCCCCTGTAGTTGCATCGCCACATTATCACTTCTATTCATATTAAAGCCTTCGTTTAATAGTGTCATATTGTCTCAATAGACCTCTGACAATTATAAAAGACTCCCTTCGCTTCTCTAAGTTTATCTTTATCTCCCCGTACACTGTTGGAGTTAAATTGGCCCTTATTTACATAATTCTATTAAGCTCTCCCAACAAAGGTTACAATGCACAATTAATGATTCTCATGACATAATGATCTACATTGACTAGGTGTTACCCGGTGTTTCGCTGCCGGTTTAAATTTACACAACTAATTTTTGCAATCTAAATTTATAATTTAACACAAATGAGGTGAAAATTAAAACGCAACATATGGGCGCTAGTGGTTTAACGATATTTATTTTGATGAGTAAAAATTTTTTGTTTATAATTCTTGGTAAGCTCTATAACTGATAAATAAATACCCTAATTACCCGTCCATACTGAATAAAGTACCCGGCTACTATTCAATATGTTGAATAGTACCCACCTGAGTACTAATTACAGGAGAATACTATAATGGGGCGGTAATTTACATTGTTCAATAAGAATTTTCTAAATGATCACTGAGTTGTACCCGGATCTTTTCAAGAGATACAGCGCATATCTAAAATGTGTGCCAAGTTTATAGTGCAAGTTCTTTGAACTACAAATCAGATTTCAAGATCAGAGTCGTTTTTCTGATTTTTCAAAATCTACATAAAAACCACATTTATTGCTCTAACAAGTTTTCCTTGGGAAAATCTAACCCTAATATAACACTAACCATAACTTCAATAAAGAATTTGTCAACATTATGTGATTGCGCACACATTTTAGACATCAGAGGGCACTATAGTCAGTAGCGTGGGTTATTATTGGATGAAAAATCTTGTCGCAATTTGTCATCGTTATCATGATTATAGTTGCACAATTTAAAAGAGTAATTTCAACGTCATCATCACGTAAAACGACCGACTTTAATATAATAGACTAGTACGTTATGCCCGTCATTGAATGACAAGCTATATTACATCATAGAAACCCTGTAAAAAAAATTTTCCGAATATTTCCGTTATTTTTCCATATTTTTTGTGAAAACTCCGTTAATCTGCAACATCTCCGTGATTTAAGGTTATAAATGCCGTGAATATGAAACATTTATGGACAAAACACGGATCAACTTTTTATAGGGAAAGACCGTAGTATTGGGAACTATGAGAATTATGACAATAAGATTATGGGTTCATTGCTTTTTTTTATGGTAACACTTTAAGTAGGTTACACGAATATGCAATGGTTAACCTCAAAGTTGTTCATTTTAAACTAATCCTTATAAAAAATTTTCAAAAATTGTACCCCGACTTTCTTCAGATTATTGCTCCATTATCGTTCCGGAAAAGCTCATTTCACGAAACAAATCATATACAAATTCCTGACAATTCCGGGTAAAAATCAAATCTGGAAAGATTCGGCTTCTAATTATAATGAAGTACAAAGATTAAAAGCTGATCAGCTTGTGAACGAAGTCACAAGGCAGACATTATTGCGAGTCCCAGGTGATAACAGGTCACTGGACTGGTGTATGACGAAATGGTATTTGAGTAACCTGATGATCTGTATTGATTTCTTTGTTCTTTGAATTTTCTGCTCGACATTGTG